CACATTTTTGGAATCTGAGGATCACAATTTGTGACTTATCATTAGCTCCACAGGGCTAATGAGCACAGAGCTGGGATTTGACTCCAAGGTAAACACTTCTTAGGTTCTGAGAAGGTAAGGCTCAGAGTGTACCTTACATCTTGCAACCTGCTCAGAGAGGCAGGAACTGGGATAGGTGTGGTCTGTGGCTCCAGCCCTTCCTCTCATGCTGGAGTGATAGGAGCTCTAGTGAGCATGTCACTAGCCAATGCTATACTTGCAGTCTAGCTGGCCTGGTTAGGTGTTTATCCTCCTGAGGCAGCCAAGGCCTAGAATGCAAGTTTTATGTCTACCCATGAAGAGGAGGCTATCTGAAACAAGCCAAGGGGGGCCAGAGGACCAACAGTAGATTCCATTGTAAAGGATGGTTTTCAGTGTGCCCTACAAACCACAGGGACCACAGCTACAACTGGATATAAAAGGAGGAAGTCCTCCTGCTATAGCCCTTGTCCATCCCTGTGACCCCAAGCCCCAACCAAAGTTGGCCTGATACTTCTGAGCTGTAGTGCAGAGGCCAGGCAGAGATTGTTCATTCCAAGCTGGGTGAGCTAATGATACTTTTCAACTGCTCTTTCTAGTTTCCTCAGAGGACTTGACTTTTAGGAACACCTCTCAGGAGAGGGTCCTGTTATGGGAGGAAGGGACTTTGAGCTGAGTCAGGTGCCTGTGTATACCAGGTACTGTAGGGGTAGCATCCTTTCCCCCAATAGAGGGACTCCTTATTCATTAGAATAATCTGTGTTGGGCTTTGAAGCTTAGTTGATGCTCCCAGGGGGTTGCTTTCCACTCCAAGAACTCAGATCTAACTTCCTCAGCCCAAAGAAAGGAAGGGCCTGTCCTTAAGCCTGGCTTACTCTGCCAAACCAGCCAACATCCAGTACAGCTGTTTATCAGGCCTTTGCTTTAGGAATTTAGTTTCTTGCCTGCCCATCTGTGGTGCCGTTGTCACTACCTCAGTAGACGGAGGCAGGTGGTTCTGTTGTGGGCTGGGTCCATATCTTGGTGCACACCATTGTCCTGTGTTCAGGGCTTGAGTCAAGCCTGGTGGCCAAACCTACAGTTTCTCCTGTACATTTCCATATTACTATGCAGAATGGTTGCAGACTAAGGAAGAAGGATATCAAAGAGGGTAGCAGAGCCAGAGAGATCAGACTTGTTTTAGGGAACAACATGTCCCTTATCTACTCAAAGTTCCAACTTGCATATCTGGGACCAGAAGGGTGATGTACCTAACCCCAGATGCTGTGAGAGAGAATGAATCAGTGCTTACAACTCCCCAAATCCCTGCCTGGCCATTGGTGAACACTGAGAAGAAATAAGCCACTACTCACCACTATAGGTCACACTAGCAGATAGAGGCTTCTTGTTTTCATTATAGTATTTGAGCCTCTGTTCTGGTATAGACATGCCAGGTAATTACTCTTCCCAAGTTGCAAGAAGTGCTTTTCATATTCAGTAAGTGGATCATAGTGAATATGAAAAAATAAATAAATGTCTTGTGTGTGGTAAAAGTACTGATTGTAATTTTCTAATATGTGTCCCTGTGCATATATGCTCAGCATTGTGTGAATAGTATTCTCTGGATCTTGGTGAGGTAAATTTGGAAAGCCTGGTGTCCTACTGCTTTCTAGCATTGGAGTTAGGCTTCACCTTGAAAGGTGCTTTGCATTCTTTGCCCCAGGGAGAGTCTTGGTTTCTATGGTTCTCTGTCTCTATTCCTCTTCTGAGTGGGTCTATAGACAACAAAATAGAAGATACCTGCTTTATCCCACAGAGCTGCTTCTGGTTCTGTAAAGTAGCTAGCCTCTGGGAGGAAGGACCCTCCCCTTGAGCATGCTAAAAGACCCCTCTCTATAGTTAGTTCTGGTTCCTTTTTTCTTTTTGTTCTTAGAAGCACACCTTTTCACACTCCCTGGGATCATTAGGAAATGTGTTAGAATTCTGTCTCAGTTACTCTTCTCTCATTGTTGGAACCAGATAGCCAACACCCCAAATTAAGGAATGAAAGGTTATCTCACAGTTAGAGGAGATTTCAGTCCATACTCAGCTGGCTCCAAGGCAGAGTGGTACATGGCACAGAACAGTGGTTCATGGCAGAAGCAAAGAACAAAGGAAGTGGAAGCAGCCATGGCAGCTAGTTAGGCTCTTCCCTTCCTTTCCCTTCCTTACATTGTAATGAAGAGTACCTGCCTCAGGGCCGGTGCAGCACCCACACCCAGAATAATCAATCACAAACTCCAGAAGCTGCCCCATGACTGCATGACTTTGGGGAGACACCTATACAAAAACTGTAAGAGTCCACCTGCAAGGGCTTGGATGGGGCAGAGGGCCCTCAGGTGGTGAGGCTGCAGTACCAGGATCGCTCGAATTCAGGCAGGTCGCTCTGGCCCTGACAGATGCCCTAGATACAGTGCACCAGGGATCCAGGCTCTTGTAGTAGGCTTATAGCAGAGGATGAGTAGGAAAGCTAGACTCTGAGCAGGCTGTCTCCATCTTTGAAGAAATGCCCTTTTCTTGTGCCTTCCTGCTTGCCCCTTTCATACATAAGTGCTTCTACCCTATAGCAGCTTTGTTCTAGCTGGGCACTGGGGGGACCAGAAGAGGACTGGAGGCTCAAAATAGATGGAGGGCTGGGTAGACCTGAGCCTATAGCTGTACAACAGCCATTTCTTTTTTTGGGAACACATAAAACTAGGTGAAGCTTGGCCTCTTAAGAGGCCTGGATTCCTAACCTCTGGAGGTGCAGAACTAGGACAGGGAACTTGTTGGAGCTGGTTTCTTGCTGACAGCATCAGAGGCTGCCATTCTCATTGCCTGAATTTGGGTTACAGCCTAGATACTTGCCCTTGCTCTTGTAGCATAATGTTGGGCATAGCTGAAACCTTTCTTTCTGTCCTCTAAGGACAGACTGCCTGGACTAAAAATGCAGATGGGTGTGTCCAGCCTGTAAGATAGAGGCAGCAGGAGAGGGGAGAAGCACTGGCTGGAAGCATGGATTATCTGGAAGCCAATTTGAATGTGCTTCAGCTTTATGAGTGTGGGAGACAGAGTGCAGTGCAATGTAAAGATGGGTCTAGCTCCAGAGCCAGGGACCTAAATTTAAATCCTGACATGGCTGCTAATTCTTAGCACCGTGATGCTGAATGAGTTACTTAGCTTCTTAGGGGGCTTGCTTCCTTGTCTGTAGGATAGAGATGGTGGTAATATCTGCTTTACAGGGTTCTGGGAGCATTCTCCTCTGTGAGAGGCACAGGGCAGGGTGGAGTATGTGGCACTGCTTGCTCTCCTGGGTGGCACTGTTGAAATTTGGAAAGAGCTGCTTGCTTACTTTGGTGAGGGTATTTTGTTTGTTTTGTTTTGGTGTTTTGGGGGGGAGTTGTTTGTGTGTGTTGAGACTAAGTCTCACTATGTAGCTCTTGTCTTGAATTCACTATGTAGCATAGGCTGGCCTTGGACTCAAAGGAGTCTTGCTTCAGCCTCCTGAATGCTAGGATTGCAGGCCTGTGCCACCATACCTGGATTAAGAAGTGGATTTTAGGTTACCAGTGTGTACCTGGACCTGCTTTCCAGGAACAGTGGTTGGGAGCTCAGCATAAATTGTATGTTTGTTTGTTTGTTTGTTAGTTTGAGAAAGCATCTCACTATGTAGTCAGGATAGCCTTTAACTTACTCTGTAGCCCAGGCTGGTCTTGAACTCAAGGTGATCCTCCTTCCTCAGCCCCCTGAGTACTGGGATTACAGGTGTGTTCTACCACACTAGGTACAGTACAGTTTTAAAGATTAATAATAGATCCTTATACTGCTGATGGAAATGTAAAAAGGTATAGCCACTTTGAGAAATTTGTAGCTTATTACAAAGTTAAAGGGATAGTTCCCATATGACCCAGAAACTCTACTTCCGGGCAACCCCCCAAGAGAAATAAAAGCATGTATGTGTTCATGCAGACACATGCATATGACTGCTTGTGTCTAGATATCTCCCCATAAAGCCCCATGTAGCCATAGGTGGAACTTTTTCACAGGTCACTGATTGTGTAATTGATTCATGGGAATGGGACCAAGGAAGGGAAACAACAAGCTTTATGGTAATTTCATAGAGAAGCTGGTGGCTGTCCCAGAGGAAGATGGAGTAATAGCCTACCCACCTATAGCTCCAGGGCCCAGAGACTGTGGCCTTTGCTTCCCAATGGGAACCAGTAGTGCAGACAGCATCAAGGACACATTTCTAGGGTCCTAGCACACTGTGCCCTATCAGCCTTCTCAAAGCATCAGTATTTGGGAGGCTGTGAGGCCAGAGGATAGAAGGCTGACAGTTCGTCTTTAGAAAGGTCCTCTTGTCTAGCCTTTTTGATTTGTGTGAATTCGTTAAAGTTATTTTTTGTTCCTAATTTTAGTTAACAGCTTTTGCTGGTTATTTTTAAAATACTGCTTATTGAGATAGAGTTGGCCCAGAGTTGAACCATGAGCATCTGCAGAGCTCTCTGAGGCCTTGGGGCAGTTGCGGGTAGGCTAACCTTTACAGGATGTCTGGTTCTGGTCCCATCCTAGTAGTTGGGGATCAAAGATGTGACTCTATTTTGGTCCACTCCTTACATCTCAAAATAATCTAGCTATTTGGAATCATCTCCTAGAGCTTTTTCTCAGTGCTCTTTTGGGTCAGCAACCCCTCCGGAATCAGATCTTGGCTGCCTCTTGTCTCCTCAGCTATCCTCTTCCTGCCTCCTCCTGCCTCTTCCTTTTGTGCAGTCAGGGATATTGTTTTCCAAGTCGGAAGTGAAGTCCAGATACTGTTCTTTGAGGAACCTGGCCTGCCCCAGTCACTCCAAGGGAGGGATGGAAAGTTGAGCCACAAGGGCAGAATGGGGAAAGGCTTGGGCATGATTAGGGATTGTGGACCTGCCTCTATCTTGTGCTGCCACTTTCCTGCTGTCTCTGAATGACTACTCATTTTGTTCTTGCAGCCTACAACACTTCCACAGGGCACCATCAACATGAACCAGTGCACAGATGTGGTGGATGGGGAGGGCCGCACCAGCCAGAAATTCTCCCTGTGTATCCTGACACCTGAGAAGGAACATTTCATCAGAGCAGAAACTAAAGAGATCATCAGTGGGTGAGTGGTCAGTGCCATGGGAGGAGGCACACTGTGGAAGGAGGCATTGCCCATCTACTTGCCTACCAGCGGGCCCTGTGTGTTGATTCAGCCACATAATCACTACCTCCTTCCCAGGTGGCTCTTCCTCCAAGCACCCTCCTTTTTTTAGTGCTACCAGCCTACATTGCCATGCTTCATCCTGAAAACTCGGCCTCCCTCCAAGGCCACCATATTTTCCTCAGATCTCCTAGCTTTCCCACCTCCACTCTCAGCATACTCCAACCCACCTGTCCCTTGGCCATGAGGAAGGGAAGTCCACAATGTGTACCTGACCCAACCCCCAGCCTAAAACAAATCCCCAGCAATCAGATTCGTGTTGCTTGGTGGCTTCAAGGCCCTTCCCAACTCTGCAGCTAACCCTCATTGTACAGCACACCCAACTACCATGTCTCCATAGGGCTAAGCTGGTAGTGATACTCATTACTCCTCACTGTAGGGTGATCTATCTTTCCTCCAGGCTGTCCAGAGTCAGCTTGCATATCAGCCTGTAGAACATGTCCCATGAGCTGTGGAGCTCCATCACCCGGCTCCAGGTTACCCAAATGCTTGAGCATCTTCTTCAGGGATGGCCCTTGAGAGTAGAGGTAGGTCTCAGCCATATCCCAGAGCCTCACACATGAGCTGCACCACTGCAGAGACTGGCTTCTTTGAGTAAGAATGATGGGCAAGCCTCTTGCTCATGCCACTCTTTTGAGGAGCTTTAGAAGGTCTGTCAGCCGGAGAGTGGGCCTAGGTTTTAACATAGTTGAGAGTCATAGTGGATGAGAACTCCGTGCCTGAGTTTGAGAGAGCTCATTGTCTAATAATAGGGCATTCACTACCTGCAGCCTTCTGCCTAGCCTATTATAAAAAGCTATATGTGTATGGCCTGTGTAGATAGGCAGGCTCAGCAGACCAGGTTGGGAGCTCAAGGAATGAATCTTGGAGAATCCCACTCATCTTGTAAAGTTTGAAGGAGGAAGGTGCCTCTTAAGAAGCTTTGGAAGAAAGCAGAAATGAGGAGTTGAAGGGAACTGACTGATAGCTACAGGGCAAGATAGAGGAAATTAAGGATATAATGTTCTTCAGTTTGAGCACAAGGATGTTTTTGGAGCACCACCTTGCTTTCAGTATCTCAGCCATATCCTGGCCTAGACTGAGAAGAGGCCAGAGGGTGAGGGCAAGATCATGTCCTGATGGCAGAGGAGCACCTTGTGTATTTCTATAAACTTAATCTAGAACTGTGGGGTTTAAGGTTATCTAGCACTTCACTCTGTGTTGAGAAACCTGAGGGAGCTGCCAGAGACATCCTCTAGATGCGAGTGGGCATCTGCACTTCCAGCTCATACCTCTTTCTGCTAGCTGGCCTGGCCAGATGGGGAACCTCACCTTCCCATCCAGGGAGAGCATGGGAGAAAGGAGTCTGAGGTCAACAGTGCAGTGGGGTGCCTGGATCTGGGTTAGTGACATGCCACATAATTAAAGGGTGATGTTCAGCATTTCATCAGTGCTTCGACAGTCAGCCCAGGGTCCTTGCTCCATTCTGAGCCCTAGCCTCACCTATGGTTACTCCTCTATTCTTCCTTCTGTCAGCAGGTGTTGACCTGCCATTTCCACACACTTCTCTGTACAGTGCTGTCACCTTCCGCTGCTCTCCATTATGGAGGTGGGGATCCCTGGCACCCACCAAATCCTATGTCCATACTTACTGTCTTAGTTACTTTTTACTCGTTGCTGGAACAAATACCTGACACTCAAAATGAAGGAAGGAAAGGTTTATTAGCTCACAGTTACTGGAGGGTTCAGTCCATATTCCACTGGCTCCAAAGCAAACAACAGCAGTTCATGCGGCAGAAAACAATGAGAGCAGAGGAGCAGCATCTGCAGTGGCGTCCATCAAGCCTCTCTCTTCCTTCTGCGCTGACTGCGAAGACCAGCTCCACAGTAAAGATTGGAGCTCCTCCAAAGTGGCGCGGCTGCCAAGATCAAGCTCCTCCAAAGACTGGGACTTCTCCACGGAAGCAGGGTGGGGCAGCAGGAAACCAGGCAGGGTGGCTTCCTGCCTTTCTCAATTCCTGTGCCCTGCCCACCTGCAGGGCAAGGCCCTCATGCTGAGATGTGCAGGAGCTGATTCAACCAAGTTGACACAATGTATCAACTAACACAGTCCACCCCTTGTCAACTTGGCAACTAGACATATACTTTTTTAAGCCAATTTCACAGACATGTACACAGACATGTTTAAACATTTTACAAATTGAACATTGCATTACATTAGAACCATGACATGTTACCCCTGGCCCTCCAAAGACTCATGCACAACCGTTTGTGTAAAAGACATTTTAGTCCATCTCTAAGAGTTGCCGAAGTCCAACCAGTTTCAGCAACACTGAAAAGTCCAAGTCCCAAGCTTCCAAGATCTAAGGCAAACTCTTAGCTGTGAGCCCCTCTACAAATGCAAAGTTAAACACTTCTAACATTCACAGGCACAAGATAAGCATTGCCATTCCAAAAGGGATACACAGCAGGATATAAACAATTGGGACCAAAACAAGTCCAAAGTCCAGAAGGGCAAACTTAAGTCCTATAGTTCCCTGTGGACCATCCAAAGCACCCTGTAATGAGTTGTGGGCTCCAAAAAGCCTTACATGGCTCCACCCCTATGGCACTTCTGCTGATAGCTCCTATGGCTTTTCTCACAGGCCTGCTTTGCTCCCTTTTTGCAGCTTTTCTTAGACCATCCACATTTCTGGCTTTTTCAGACTTCTGAGGTTTCCACTGAATAGGCTTCTCATTCACAGCTTCACACACTGCCCTCTCATGGGCACACTGTCTGGCCTTCCAGGTCTTCTTCTGAAATCTGGGTGGAAGCCTTCTGAACCTCAGAACACCTGCATTCTGCATGCACCTACAACCAAAGCCACGTGGATGATGCCAAGGGCTGCTGCCAGCTGGAGCAGAAGCCAGGGTTTCCTCTCTCTTGGCTGTACGGGTCAAGTGCCTGGATTGCTGAGCATTCTGACTCTGATTCTGAGAAACAAATTCTCTGTGTCAGCACCATTCTGCAATCTGATGTGGCCGCCGCCTCCATTCTGGAACCTGGTGTGGCCTCTGCCTCCATTCTGGAAGATGGGGCTCTGCAGCTTTCTCCTCAAAGCAAAATCCCTCACCATTGCCATTCTGAGGCTGCAAAGGGCAAGAACCTGCTACCTCCTGTGATGCCCTCAGGACATCTTTTCTACTCTCCTGTTCCTTCTCAGCAATGGAGATCTTCTCAGCTCTGTCTGTGCAGTCCACAGCTTTCCTGGAGCTTCCTTTCTGGCCAAACTCACAACATTTTAAATCATCCTTTTGGGCTCTTTGCTCTTGATTCTCCAAATAAATCTGGCTAAAAGCCCCCAGTAACAACCAGGCCACTGCCCCAATATTTGGCTGTTTTGAAATATCTTTTGCTAGATTAATCAGTCCGCCATGCTTAAACTCACTCTCAGGCCAAGTCTCTGGGCACGAGCAAAATGCAGACAACTTCTCCGCCAAGTCAAAACACAAATGATCTGGAGTCCAACAACCAATGCTGTCTTTTTTCCCCGGCAGAAACCTCCCCAGCCTTGTCTTCACAGGCAGGCTCTCTCAGCCTTCTGGTCTTCAGAGCTCTGACCAGAATCTCCAAAACAAAACAGCCGAAGCTGTTCCAGCACTTCACTTGTAGGCGACATCTCTGAATCTTTCCTATCTCTTCCCATAAGCCATTCCCAAAAGCTTGTAATCCACATGGTCAGGTTTAGCCACAGCAACGATCCCACTTTTCTGGTACCAAATTCTGTCTTAGTTACTTTTTACTTGTTGCTGGGACAAATATCCAACACTCAAAATGAAGGAAGGAAAGGTTTATTAGCTCACAGTTACTGGAGGATTCAGTCCATATTCCACTGGCTCCAAGGCAAACAACAGCAGTTCATGCAGCAGAAAACAATGAGAGCAGAGGAGGAGCAGCATCTGCAGTGATGTCCATCAAGCCTCTCTCTTCCTTCTGCGCTGACTGTGAAGACCAGCTCCACAGTGAAGATTGGAGCTCCTCCAAAGTGGCTGCCAAGATCAAGCTCCTCCAAAGACTGGGACTTCTCCACGGAAGCAGGGTGGGGCAGCAGGAAACCAGGCAGGGTGGCTTCCTGCCTTTCTCAATTCCTGTGCCCTGCCCACCTGCAGGGCAAGGCCCTCATGCTAAGATCTGCTGGAGCTGAGTCAGCCAAGTTGACACACGTATCAATTAACACACTTACCCTTCTCCTCTCTTTACTGGGTTTGTTAATATTTGTAACACATTTGAATAACAATAGGCAATTCCTATTGGGCTTCCATGAGAAGTGCAAGTGCAGAAGACACATTCTGTTCTGTGTCCCTGATCTGTCATCTGTAACCCCAGCCTCATAGCATCACAAGATGCGTGGTGCACAACCTAGGGCCTTTTCAGTCTACCTTCTAAACTCCTGGGTTGCTGATCCCACACAGGAGAACTCATCAGCTCTGTTCATTGTTCAGTCAGTATGTAGCCTGGCCACTTTTCACTCTTTCCTCAAGGCCCACTCTATGCAGCTCCTCAGTATTGCCAGGCGGCGGTACCTGTAAGGCTTAAGGCATTCAGAAGGTTCTACAGTGTTCTTCCTACATTCTTGGGGCCCTGTGAGAGCACAGTAAGTTTGACCTGGGATTCTGATGAAGGTATTGAAGTAAGCTTCTACAGACATGGGTTCCCAGAGTGCTTGGCAGCCATGTCAGCCACTGTGACAGATAAGAGGAGTGAGCAGAAACAGAGGACTTAGGGCCCTGGGGAAGCCTGTTCTATTGGCTTTAAGTTGCAACATCCTTTCTTGCTTATAGGCCACAAGGAGGTGACCTCAAGACTTGTGTCATTGTTAACAGGACTTTTTATATACTCTCGGCAAGTTGAAGGACTATGGGTCAAGGTGATCTGAGGGTAGCCCTTAACTCAGTCACTGTGCTTTCCTGCACCAAGCCAGCTTCCCCAGCCACCAGCTGTCAACATCACAGCAACCCTGAAGCTGTCCCAGAAATCCTCTAATTCTCACCCAGCCTCCTTCCGGAAGCCTCTCTCCTGCCCCAGGAGTTCTGCTGCATAAAAGGCCAGTGTAGTGTCTAGCCAGGATGTGGCAGTGTAGCATTACCATCGCTACACAAGGCCTAAAGCAGCACTGACCATGGTGCTCTAGGAAAGTCTGGGCCAGTGTGTCCTGGAATTTCTTCCTCTGCTGAAAGACAACTAGGGTTGTCCTTGCTCTTTTTGCTCTCTCTGTGTGTTACCCTTCTTCCTTTGGACTGGTATGAAGCTCTAGAGTTTCATTTGCTTAGTCCGTATAAAATTCTATGCAGTGGGAGAAGCATTGTTCATGCCATAACCTTATCTAGCACCTGGTTTCAAAAATGAAGACAGGCTGGGGATATAGTTCAGCACAGTGCCTGCCTGGCAAGCACAAGATCCTAAGTTCAATTCTCAGTAACAACAGCCACCCAAAAATGAGGCAAATCCCAACTGGGGCTTCAAACATCCAAGGCTCTGATCAGAGAAGCAGTCAGATCTGAGGTCCCAGCCACCTACCTACTGCCTCCTCTGTACACCCTCCTTGTGGCTTCCCCATCCTAGTCTGGGGATACCCTTTAGCTCATACGCCCTGGTGAGCATCCTGAGCTGCTGCTCTGTCTGACCTTATCCAAAGCCAGAGTGTTTGGCCCCCTTCCTGTTCAGGAGATAGTCTGAAAGGTCAGCTGTTCATGTCTGAGGTGAGCCAGCGTAGGAAACTTTGCTGACGTGATTCCTGCTTTCCTCCTTTGAGTCAACTTTTGCTTCAGCAATCCTAAATGGCTCCTAGCCACTGCCTGAGCATGTGCAGATATATTCTGTGTGGGCAGTTCTAGAGCCAAGGTGAAGCCCAACAGATCGACTGCCAATGAGAGAGTGATGTGCCCATGTGCTGCAGGCCCTATGGTCAGACCTGCCTCTGCCACAGTGGAGCCTGCATCGTGTCTGTCCTAAGCCTGCCATGGCCATGGCAAGACTTTTGTCTGGATCTGGTCCTGGCCCAGCCTGTGCCTCTAACCTCTTCAGTGAGCATGCTCTTTGGCCAACTGTAGTATCTCTGATTTGGAGTGATGCCCTGCCCTGGTCAGTGCCTGGAGGCCTGGCCAATGGTTTAAGTCATAGAGTCTGGGCCACATCAACAAGAGTTAGGATTATGGTTCCTGAGAGTCAGGGTCTTACCTGGTGTTCTGTCTCCTCTCCCCAGGTGGCTGGAAATGCTCATGGTCTATCCCAGGACTAATAAGCAGAACCAGAAGAAGAAACGAAAAGTGGAGCCACCCACCCCACAGGTAGGCTATGGGCTTGCCAGGTGGCCTACCCTCTGTGGAGCCTGAGAAGATGTAAGGGTGCCTAGAGGCTGGAGAATAGGGATGAGGTCAGGCCAGGGCTGAGGCAGTCATGTCCTGTATGTTCCCTCTTTCCTCCCCACTCTGGTGACCACAATCCACTCCATCCTCTCTTAAGGGTATCCTCTAGCCATCCTGTGGGCCTTTAGGGTGGAAAGAGTAGGAGAAGGGATTGCCTGCACACACACCTCTGTTGGGACAGCTAGAGGGTATCCTGGGATGTCGCTATATAGTAAAGGGCTTTGAGGATCCCTTCAGACCTAGGCCTAGTGAAACGAGAGTACAGTCCTAAACAAAGTTGTTGTTGTTGTTGTTGTTGTTGTTGTTGTTGTTGTTGTTGTTGTTCTTCTTCTTCTTCTTCTTCTTCTTCTTCTTCTTCTTCTTCTTCTCCTTCTCCTTCTCCTTCTCCTTCTCCTTCTCCTTCTCCTTCTTCCTTCTTCCTTCTTCCTTCTTCCTTCTTCCTTCTTCCTTCTTCCTTCTTCCTTCTTCTTCCTTTTTTTTTTAAGAAAAGGTCTTGGGTTTAATCTCTGAATCGTCCAGATTGGGGTCAAAATTTCAATCCTGCCTCACCCTCTCAGAGTACTGGATTATAGGTTGGTGTCATCATACTTAGCTTATATTGGGCCTCTAATTGCTAGGGCTATTGTCAGTGTTGAAGTAAGCATTACATCCATTATGAGTATTTAGTAAATAATAATTCTTTCCTCCTTTCTACCCAGCGTTAGCAACCCTCACAAAGTACTTTTTCTTTTGTTGAATTGAGGCTCCCAGTCACTTGAGAATGAACAGATTGAGATGGGGTTCCTTAAGTGTCCCAAGGTGAGAGACCTGGGAAAATTGAAGAGAGCCAGATGAAGGTGGAACGCTGTTGCCTCTGGGACTGAGCAGTCCTCACTGGCTGCATGCCAGTGAGGTACTTTGGAGCCCAGGGATGGTCAGTAGCACGCCAGTGGGCCAACTGGCATGGGGCCCACCCTCCATCAGTGGGCATCCACCTCTATCTTATCCTTTCCAAGGAGTTCTGGGATCCCAAGTGAGTGTCCCCTAGAAATGTGATGTCCCTCATTAGAAATCTACAAAAAATATAATCAGAGTGCTTCTTAGAGACTGAAAATGAAACTTCTTCCTAGGGAATAGCAATTCATAAACAAATCTTCCAAAGCTGCCTATTGTGAGAAAAAAAAAAAATGCATAGACAGAAGAACAGTGTTTGGGGTTACTCCACATTTCCATGGCGATACCTTAAAAACAGTGCAGGGCAGAACTGCCTCTAAATAAAGTAACTTCATTTGCAGGAGATGCTTTGGGCTAGGGCAGGGTCTTTGGCCATATCCCCTCACCAATGACCCCATACTCCTAAGTGCTGCTGCTCAAGATCAGGCTTACTCTTTGCTTGGTAAAAGAAGCCATATGACTCCAGTGAAAAGAGGAAGGTCATCCCTTTCCCTGAGCCATGTCTTTCAGATTGGATGACATTTCCAGGAAGGTAGGTACAGAGCCTAGACCTGGACCACCCTAGCCCCCCCTTCTAAGTCCTCTCCTAAGTGAGTTTGGTGGAGATTCTCTTCTGCCTCTTGATCTCCAGAACATCCTCTTGTAGGTTATTCATTTCTAAACCCATGAACTTTCATCAGAAGCCATCTCCCTCAAGTAACACGTGCCTCTATTAGAGGAGAGGTACAGATTGCATTTAGGTCACACTCCCTGGGGAGACCTACCTCTGGCAGCCTAATTCTAATAGCATTCAAATGGCCCAGACTGGGCCACAGAGTAAGCCATAAGTCTTTGGGGCCTCTATAGGGGCAAGAACCTGAGATGATCCTGTACCTAGCTCTTTCTCCACAGCTCTCTGCAGACTCAAGAGAGTTTCATATTAAGCTATGGAGGCCTAAAGCCACAGTCTTTGCTGAGTGCAGTTAGACTCAGCCTCTGCTGTGTGGAAGCACAGGCAGAAGAGCTGTGGAATCTCACATCTTGAGGTAGGGCTGTGAATCAGGCCACAGATAGCAGTCTGGGGAGGGAATCCCAAGAAAGCCCAAGGTAGGGAGAGGAGACAGACCCAGTCCTGAGCAGAACCCAACAGCCATGATTGGAGAAGCACAAGTTCCTCATGTGGCTAAGAAAGAGAGCCTGGGATGATGGAAGCACACACCCATCATAAGTATGACCAGGTCAGAAGTCCTTAATTAGGTGTGCAGACCCTAGTGGCCCATTAGCCAGCTGGATCCTCTCGTCTCCCAGCCCCAGGCTCTTGGCCCCTGGCAGGGAACTATAAAACAGCTGGCCTGTCTGTGAGACCACCACTACCACCACCACCAATAATAACTTGTGCACATTAAAATGGCTCTCTCTCCTTCCCAGAAATCTTATTTTCTGGGGAGGGTGTCTGTTGTCCCCACCCCTCACCTCTAAACACACTCCAGGTCAGAGATCTCCAGTCCCGTTGGATCCTGTGCTCCATTTTCATACCAGGGAAGAGAGAGGCCTTCTCTGACACCCTTCCAGAGAAAGGGTTCCATATCATGTTTCTCTTACTTTGAAACTTTCTCAGCAGCTTTGATGAACAACACAGATATCAATGGGGCAGTGACAGCCTTGGGCAGCGCTGCCCATCTAAGAAATAGTACAGAGAAAACCCAGGCACTTTATTCCTTCCTCAGCCCTAGGCTGAGTCTGTGCAATTTGAGCCCAGTCCTACACTGTGGAAATAGAAGGGTCCTTGTGGCCATACTCAGCCCAACCCAGTGTCTCATCTACCTACTCAGAAGAATAAAAGTGTCTTTGCCTAGAAATGAGCTTCCCCACTGTTTAGTCAGGGTGGTGTGCTTGCTGAGGGGCAGGGTGGCCATGGGGCTGCTCTCCAGATGTGTCTACATGGCAGACATTCAGAAACTGTCAGGAGAATCCTGTATCACTTTGAAAAAGCTGAAGTTGACTTTTTCCATGGAGTTTCAAGTGTGGGAGTTGGTCAACAATGACTCTGAGCCAAATAAGTGGTCAGGTATTGGTCTTGGGCCTGGGGAAGAGCCTCCTGGCTTGCTTGCATCCAGTGAGGCCTGGGATCCTTGCAAATCTGGCAACAACTTTGGAGCAGACACACTATCCAGTACCCTGCCCTTCCCCCACCCTTCCTCTTGTTTTGGTGCACATAGTGGTAGAAATGCTTGGACCCCCAAGTTGCCCTTTCTGGTCCTGACATAAAAAGGCACTATGTCTCTTCATCCTTGAAATAACTCCTGCCAGGTTTGGTGAGCTTAGATAATGCAATCCCTGATGTAGCTACTAACAGATAACCTGATGTTCATCTTAGGTCTGTGCATGTACACACAAACATGTACACTACCTGGTCATCTGTGACCCTCACTGGGGGCCCAATCCAGAGGTAGCCCAAGAGAAATTTCAGAAAATGAGTCTGGGCCACCAGGGTGGGAAGGGAATATGGGTATTTATGTATGTCCTGTATTTGGCAACCTGAAACACTTTTAAAGAGACCAAAGCCAGACTGGCGAGATCGCTCAGTGGACTAAGCACCTACTTAGGCAAGCGCAGGGAGTGTAGTTTGATCCCCAGCATCACATGCCACACGGGTCCTGCCTCTGTGTGTGTTGAGCCATCCACTGAGACTGAGTGTGGTGAAGCACGCCGGTTATCCCAGTACCATCTTCTTAGCTGTTTCCTTCTTCAGGGAAATGGTTGGGCCAGGGAAAGAGCTGGCTTTGCAAGACAGGTGGGGATTGCAGTCTTGCTGTGTTTGTTAGCTTTACATTACTATGATAATAGCTGAGAAAATTTAAAGGAAGAAAGGTTCTTTTAGCCTACAGTTACAGAGATTTCAGTCCTTTTTCTCGCTGGTCCCATTGTTTCTAAGCTCATGATGAGACTTAACATCACAGCTAGGAGTATATAGTAGAACAAAGCTACTCACCTAATGGTGACCAGGAAGGAGGAGTTGTCCAGGAACTAAATAGCCTTTTCAGAGGTATTCTTCTCATGACTCACCTCTTCCAACTAGGTCCTGCCTCTTAAAGGTTCTACCACCTCTTTGTAGCATTCCTGATTAAGGACCAGGCCTTTAAAACTTAAGCCTTTCGGGAATGCTCCAGATTCAAAACATAGCACGAGCCTTCATCAGAGCTGTGTGTTTTGGAGTTCAGTTCTCTGCATACTTAGGAGCTAAATGCCCAGTGTCTGCCTAGGTATCCGTCTTGCACATGCATGGTTTGGGGGTGGCACCACTTCTGTACCCTGGGGAAATGGGAATTGATGCATTTCCTGTCCAGACTACTTCCGTGGTTCTAGCTTATATAAGAAAGAGCATTTGCACATAGATATGTGTGAGTATGCGCATGTTTGCAGATTTGAGTGAGATATTTGTTGTCTTAGTCTATTCCTGCTGTTGTAACAAAATACCACAGACAGGGTGGCTTAAACTGTAGATCCTTTTGGGGCTGGGGTGATGGCTTAGTAGAATAAGCGCTTCCCTGGCAAGCACAAGGGCCTGAGTTCAATCCTCAGTTCCGAAAAAAAAAAAGAAAAAGAAAAAAAAAAAAAAAACAATAGGCCCTTACTTTCTCACTGCCATGCAGATTCAGAAGTCCAAGGTAAGGCGGCAGGAGATCTACAGTCTGGTGAGGGCCTACTTACTGCTCACATGGTAAGGCCCTTTCTCAAAGGCCTCTTGTATAAGATACCCAATCTTCACTTGTGACCTAATCACTTACCTCTTAGTGTCCTTGATTGGCAGGATATGATCTCCACACATGAAGGTGTGGGGCATGAGCATTTAGGGACTAACATTTGGCTTATATTGATGATTCTTTCCTTCACATAGTGTCTGGGTATTCCATTTTAGTTTCTTAGGTTCAAAGGTAGAAGGAAGGCAGGTGAGACCACAGGACTGGCCAAGCTTAGCTGCCATGAAAACTTGTTCTCTGCATTCACTGAGGTTCTGCAGATGATAGTGGGCCTGTCTTAAAGGCAAATTCTCCTTCTTCACCCTGTTCTATCTCTACATGTTGGTTTCTAAAGTACCTGGAAGTCTAGGAATGATGACTACAAATCAATTTCTCTGGTTTTCTCCTTTATGTCTGGGTCACTGTTCTGTGTATTGATTAGCTGCATGGATGGGGAGAGCTGGCATGTGTTTGGTGAGAGGACTCTGCTATATTTAAGGTCTTTCTGCTATATTTTCCAAGATGGCATGAGGCCACTTGGATCAGGCACTGCAGTGCTCCAGAGCTGAGAAGGTCATTGTGCCAATGGGATGGAGCTTCCTCTGTGTTTCACAGCTTTCCTCTGTGAAAGGATGCATGGAGTACCCTTCTGGAGCTTCCTGGACTCTAAAACTATGTAGCTCATCTGGCAACCCCCATAGCTGGGCTGCCAGGACATGTGAACCAGCTTAGATTGTTTGCTCAGATGTCCCCACTGACACCACTGTCTCCCCAGGAGCCTGGACCTGCCAAGGTAGCTGTCACCAGCAACAGCAGCAGCATTCCCAGTGCAGAAAAAGTCCCCACCACCAAATCCACGCTCTGGCAGGAAGAAATGAGGGTCAAGGACCAGCCTGATGGGAGCAACTTGAGTCCAGCTCAGAGTCCCAGACAGAACCAGCCTTCTGCCAGCTCCCTGCGGGAACCAGGGCTGGAGAACAAAGAAGGTGAGAGATGCCTGGCTAGCCTGCCTGCATGTCCTGTTCCCCCATCTTATAGAGCCTCATCCCAGCGTACAGAACCTCACTTGTGGACTTGGTCTGGAGCCTATAGAGCTCTGGCGGGGTCCTGGACATTACTTTCTCTTTGTGCACAAGCTGTGGTCTTGGCCTTGTCCCTTCTAGCTGTTAAAGCTCATATGTGAAAAGGAAAATAGCACCTACTCTTCCATCCCCAGGCAGATGTCAGAAGAATGAAAAAGGCTGTATATAGCAAGGGCCTTGTGTAAGAGGCCTCTTCTTGCACCATGATTTTGTTCTTATAGCTGTCTTAGCCCACAGTGCCCACATTGTCTTGAGACCAGCAGTAGTTAGGACAGTCTTATCCCTTTCTTCTCTGTCCCCATCCTGCCCTGGACCTGGCTACAGTGAGGGAAGAGAGTTCTGGGGAAGAAGAAACTGCTATTACTGTGCCCTCTCCACTGAGGTTTTGGAATTGCCATTGTGGACTTTTTGTCTCTCTCTCTGGTCTCAGAACCTAGGTTCTGCAACAAGTTGGCTTTCCCCATTCATACTTTGTCCAGGTCATGGAGAACAGGTGCACTCTAGGGGCCGGCTCAGTGGGTCAGTGCTGCATTGCATTTTACACTTGCTGTGGGCACATTGGCTGAGTTCTTTGGTAATGCACTCATCCCATTAACAATATGTCCACTCTATCTCACGTCTTCAGAAACCTCTGTTCCTGTCAACCCTACATTTGAGAGCCTGAGTGGTTGGCCATTGGTTTCCTTCTCAAGATTTCATAAGCACTTGGTGGGATGTCTTTCCTCTTGGGTTGGAGTCCTGCTGTACCTTCCCAGCCACAGACTAAGCATGAAGGGCCCACCCACCAATCTGGGCCAGATTCCAGGAAGATGTGGATAAGGGGGAAAAATACAGAGAATGGCTCCTTTCCATTCCATAGTTCTTTCCTCCCAACTCTGCCCTTGAACAGTCTCCAGTAAGCATTGGAGATAGATGGAGAAGTGGCCCTTTTGGAGAACTTATGTGAAATTTTTAAGGCTTTCTTACAATGCAGCTAGCAGCAGGCTGAGTATGACCTCTTTCCCTTCTCTGTTCCAGAGGAGAGCACCATGAGTAGTGACCGCATGGACTGTGGCCGCAAAGATAGGGTGGAGAGTGGCTACTTCTCACTGGAAAAGACCAAGCAGGACTTGAAGGCTGAGGAGCAGCAGCTGTCCCTGCACTCCCCTCCTAGCCCTAGCACTCCCAGCAACAGGTACAGTTATTCCAAATCACTCTCCCAGAAGTTTGGTCATCCCCTTCACTCCTCAGGTCCTCAAGACTCCAGCCGAATGGTCTGCAGCATCTCTCTCAGCTCCCTGGAAGAGGCTAGCCGGCCCTCTACCAACGTGGACTCCAGCAGCACTGGGGGGCGGGGGACAGAGAGACTGGGGAGCACCTTTGCCTTTAAAGCCACCAGGCAGTATGCTGCCCTGGCCGACGTCCCTAAGGCCATCAGGATCAGCCACCGAGAAGCCTTCCAGGTGGAGAGAAGGCGACTGGAGCGTAGGACTCGGGCCCGGAGCCCTGGCAGGGAAGAGGTGGCCCGTCTATTTGGCAACGAGCGGAGGTAAGGAAGGGATTAGAAGGCTGTACTGTCCTATGGTTGTGTGCACATACACATACACATGCCTACATACATGTTCTCACACATCACTCATGCATGCACACACACTCCCTAAGCAAATGGATTTTTAATTCATTTTGGGCAAATGAATTTTTGTTTAGAGTATGGAGTACCTCTCTATGGATCTTGAACAGCATAAGAACACAGCTCCTGGCAACCAGATGCAGAATTTCCGAGCATCCAGAGGCCTAGACTATTGTGGCCAGTGCCTCCAGAATTGGTACCTTTGAGGCCCCTGGTGCATTTTCAGCTGCCTTATGTAGGGTCTGATGCTTGTTGGCCCATTTCTGTTCTCTGAGATAATGTTAGAGCTGCAGATGGGCACAGGCCTTCTTTACCTGGTAGTCCTAGAATGGGCAGAGAGCATTGAGGAAGTGCAAGGGCATCACAGGCTCCTCCCTTGAGGACATACTTCTCATGATCCACAGGGAAGCCCAAGGAGGCCTATGAATCTAACACATGCCTGATGGTATCACTACTGCCCTCTTACTTAAAATGGAAGACAGAGTGAAGCCCTGCTTCTGGGGAGCAGTGAGTATGGAATCCTGGCTAGGGACAGAGAAAATTCACTGCTGTCGAAGAAGAGGAAGCTCCTACCTGCCCTTCAGATTTCCACCTGAGGCTTCCCCAGGCTTAGACCTGGACAGATACTCAAGTGCCCCTCAAAAGGTGCCCCACTATCTATAATGGGTTTTTTTCCTAGACTAGATGGCTCCTCACTTGGCTCTGGATAGATGCCTAGAGGTCTATGACCACTGTCCCCAAGTAATTTAGGCGTAATTTTCTGGAGAGAAAACCCATAGTTTTCATTAGGTTTCCAAAGAACTTTGCTTTCCAGAAAAGAGACTGATTTAAGTTCAAGAATTTTTGTCCACAGTGTCTTCCGTAATTGGGCACAGCCTAAAGCTCAGAGTTAGACATGCTGTTGGGTCAGCAGTGGGGAGACTGAGGCAGAAGGATCACTCTTGAGTTTAGGCTAGCCTAGGCTAAAAGTAAATTCAAAGCCAGCCTTAACTGCATAGTGAAATTCTATCTCAAAAAAAGACATGCTGTTGGGGGTGGGGAATGGGGCATGGGCTTTTGTTTCTTGCAGGGTGGGATAAGACGGATCTGAGGAGGTATCTTTATCTCCTGCTCCCTTTCCTTAGGCCATGTTAACTGACAGCCCCACCTGCCCATCCTAATGTCCCAGACAGAGGGCCTGTGGGCCTTCAGATCAAATTCCAAGAAAAGGAAAACTTCCTGAGTTGTTGATCTTGAGAAAAGTGGAAGCAAAAATCTCCACACAATTGACTGTCCTCACATTTCATTGGTAGTTCAACAAGGTGCCTGCTCTTACCACCTCTAGTTTGTACATATGAAAACCACAGCCCAGAAACAGGATGACTGTCCCAGTAAGTGGCTGGGGGGGGGGGTCCTTAGTGGGAAGTCCTTGCTCCCTTGATGGGACATAGGATGGGGGCTCATAGTCTTTTTGTAAGCAAACATGCAAGTAGAGAGTCTTGCTAGTGATTGAGGAAGCTGGCAGAACAGGCAGGGGAGGCTTTGTGCTGGCTGGCAGCAGGCTGTGTGTTGTGGTGGCTTCTGAGTAGAAATAACCAGTAGAAATGCTGGATTAGCGCTAGACCACAGAATTAACATTCTGCACACCTGCTTGGCTTGGCCACTTATTGAGGAAATTTCTTTTGAACTGATTCTCATCTGTTGGCCTAAGATAGATGTGATCTCTGAGGCTTTGCTCTTGCATGCTTTCTGCCATCATGAGCATGGATTCCAGCTGGTAATGGCACCTTGAGCTCCCCTCAGCATTCTAACTTTGTGACTTTCTCCTCCTCACTAACCCGAATGATCTCTGAATGACTGCTGTTATTCTCTGAGGCCCACCCACTGGATCCCAAATAAACCACCCTGTGCTGGATTTGATCCTGTCCATTGGCAAATTAGAGCATCTCCAAAGTGGCAGGACATCAGCCACAACCAGGACAGGCCTGCCTTGAAGCTGGACAGCTAAGACCAGTTGTCAGTTTCTTGACAAGCCTTGGCTAAGCTGATCTGCAGTCCTGTCTGAACACAACATGCTCTAGGTTCCCAGGTGTCTGCTTTTCAGACACCTGGAGCCTTTGCCAATGATTCTTGAACAGGGAGTTTTCTCTGACTGCTGAGTGCAGGAGAGCCCTGGTGGGACTGCTGGTGATTAACAGGAGGGTGAGTGCCCTGTGGTCCTGACCTTTCACCCTCATCACATTGCAGTTAATTCACTGGGAAGTCAGTTGCTGCAGGAAGTAGTACCTAGTCTTCGATGCTGCCTGTGTGAGGTGATTGCTGTCACACTTGTGATACTTCACGAGTGTCATATCGGTAACTTGTCACCTATACAGAGGACTATGGCAGAGGTTGCCTGAGCCTGTGGTCTCACAGCATCTCTCAAGAGCCACGTGAAGCAGCTGCAGCAAGTGCCTTCCCTTGTCTCATCTTTGACACTTCTACCTGGATCCCCATAGCTCCACAGCATGCAACTTGCATGCAGTTCTGGCCCAGCACAACACTTGCTACTTTTCTATGCCCCACAGTAAGCAGGAACTGGACACCATGACCCCTCACAGTGGTTTATCTGTGGTGGTTTACCTGTGGTGTGCCTGCAGTCACCAAAGCTTTCCTTAAAGCCCAGTGACTCCAGCAGCTTCTGTAGCACCCTGTTCTCAGTCTGCATCCTCTGCTGCCCCCCTCAGCTGCTGCTGCATCAAGCTGGTCCAGCACAAGCCCCTTGCTGAAGAAACGCTTGTGAGGAAGCTAAAGAGGAGAAAGCAGAGCCTAGTGCCTCAGACCTTTGCCCCCTAGCTGGTACCCTCTTGGGGCTCAGGCCCTATAGGATCTAAGCCACTTCCTCTTCCACTTCCTCCTAGTTAGGTCTTAGTCTGGCGGTGGGAAACCTTTACTCACTTCCACTTGGTTCTCAGTGAAGTGAATCCCTCCCCATAAGGGGATTGAGATGTGCCTTGGAGTGTAGGCCTTGGCTCTGGGGAAGAGGGGCTGCTCTTCGCCATATCCAAGTCCCAATCCCATGTTCCCTCGTGGGGTGGGCAACCTCAAGAATGAGAGCCTCCCTGACTAACCCACTGTGGTGATTCTAGGACTATGGTACAATCATGGTTTCTTCTCCCTCTTCCACAATCACCTTGGGTTTTTATTTCTTCAATTCTTTGAGTAATTTTGATTTACCATTATTTGATTTTATAAGCAGTTCTTTTCTGTTTATTCATTTTCCAGCCTTGTTTTCTTTCAGGTCTTACCCTCTCCGCCTTCTGCTGTGTCGCTGTGGCGTTTGCACCTTCTCCACCCGCTTCGCTCCCATCTCAGCTCCGTCGGCAGTAGACCACCTGACAAGGCCACCAGCCCTCTCATATGAATCAACCTGCTTTGTTTTTAATTTGGTTTTTGATTCCTTTTAACAGTTGGCAGAAATGCTAATTCATGGGCCTCTTGCCTATTAAAATTTGGGTGCATTTGGATAGGGACTACCTTGTGATTGTGGAGAGATGCTGTGGTGCAGAGCACCTCCAAGGTGGTAGTGCCTTCTGATTGTGTCTGTTGCTCAGGCAAGGATGCTAGTGACAAGCTATGTTCAGCCACACAGGTCAGCATGACAGCCTGTGGGGCCTCCAGCATGGGGTGGAACGAGTGTGGACATGGCAGGGAGGACTGTACCTCAAGCTGTTTCAACACTCATGGACAGGATATAGATGGGACTCAGGCTGACTAACATTGTGCCAGGAAATTTGGTCAGTGCCATGTGATGCTCTACAAGGAAGCTGAGAGATGCTGACACTGAGACAGCCAGGTGGGCCTGGCGTAGATAAGTGGCTGCAGGAAGCACCTATTCCATTTAAGACCAAGCTACCTTGGGAACAGAAAAGACTTGCCCTCATCTGAGCAGCCTCTTGTCTTTTCTTACAGAAGGTCCCAGGTAATTGAGAAATTTGAAGCATTGGACATTGAAAAGGCAGAGCACATGGAGACAAACCTGTCAGCTGGGCTCTCCCCATCCAGTGACACTCGCCAGGGCCGAAGTGAAAAGAGAACATTCCCCAGGAAGCGGGTGAGCTACTGGGGCTGGAGCTCAGAGGCCCAGGTGGGCCTGTGGGTACTTTGTGATCCAGATATTACATGCTCACATGTCCTGTGTCCCTACCACCTTCCTTAAAGCTGGGGATGTGATTCTGCCAGGCCTCCATTGTCTAGTCTTCTCCAGTTAATAAGCCTCTTAGGGGGCTAGCTATATTCTGCATCTTCCTTTCAGAGCTCTACCCTTCTGGAGGCACTGAATGAGTTTTAGATCCCATGTCATAGACGCTTGTCTTCCTTTCTAAGGCAGCCTCCCACAAGGTTGAACATGCCTTTCTTCCTTCCTGACTTTTGGGCAGCAGCTGTACCTTTATTCCTCTGCTTGATCTATGGGGTAGGTCAGCCCCGCAGTCCTCTTGCTCTTGGGCATGCTCCCACCTGCCTCTTTTATAGCTCCTGTGCTTGAGTTATTCTTTCTTCCTGGCTTCTCTCTTACTCATGAGGTATCCACTACCAGCCACACTCACTGCTACAGTGCCTTCTGTGACCCTGGGAGCTGGAGGATGGGATGGGGCCAGGAGAGTGATGGTAACTAAGCACCCAAAATAAAAGGGTGTCCTAACAGCAAGGGCATCTCAGAACCTGGGCCATCGCAGACTTGCAGTGGGTGCCTGACAGCACTGGCCCTGGCTGGCAGCACGAGAGGCCCTTTCCTGCTCAAAGAGGGACAAACAACCTGATTGGCCTGCCCACACTGCTCTGGGCTATACTGACTGGCGGCTGCTCTCTGCCACAGGACTTCATCAGCGAAACCCCCACAGCTCCTCTCACAGATGCTTCGGCCTCCCCCCTGTCTCCACACCGAAGAGCAAAGTCACTGGACAGGAGGTCCACGGAGTCCTCCATGACGGTGAGCCCGGGCCGTGCATCTGGTTCTCTGGAGAGATCTGCTGTCACCACTGCTGCTTTGGCCAGTAGGCCACTGTCTTGTCTCTGTCCATGGGTCCTCATGTGTGAGCCCCCACCCACTGGCCTTTAGTCCATCAGAAACATCCTGTGTGTTTATTCCCTTTCCTGGGCTGTGCAGAACCAGGGACTAGCACCTAATCTTTGATGCCATCATGAGCATGGATTCCAGCTGGGTAATGGCACCTTGAGTTCCCCTCAAGGAATCCAATAGCATTTTAAACTCTAGAGGTCTGCACGCAGGAGGCTGTCTTGGCCTTGCCACGGAATCTCAACTTTGGGAGTCTGTGCAAAATGGGCCCTCTTGTCTTCTCATTCGAGTTGTTTGTTTTTGTGGCACTTTGGAAGCAGGAGCCGTATCATGCTGCTCTCAGGATTACAGAGGAAAAACAAGGCTTGCCCAGTTCCTCCCACTGGACCTGGAATGGCAATGGCTGAGGAACCAAAAGGGTGCTCAGAGCTGGGGCATGGACACCCGTGAAATGTAGCTCAGCTTCTCTGTACTCTGTCTGTCTCTAACTTGCAGATACTGGGCCTACTCCCCACCTCTCATCCTGAAACAGACCAGTTTTGCTGTTAACTTGACTGGTGGCTGCTGCCCTCAACAGTCAGCCAAAACCCAGATAGAAGATCTACAGTTCTACAGGGATCTAATTGCCCTGTTCCTCTAAGGAAATATGGGTGCAGTGACCTAATCACAGCTCAGAGTTTGAGAATCTATGGCTTACAGATCCACAGCAAGGCTGAGTGACCTAAGGAATGGAGAGTATCCCAGGCCTCCTATACAATGATGGCTGAGTGTACCCAACAGGGATTGTCGCTCTTCATGGTTATCTGGACTAGGGCATTCCAATTCCTCATTGTTAGTTTCTGTTGGGTACTTCATAAACTGGGCAAAGGGCAGTCTGGTGTGAAGTAGGAGTTAAAGCAGAGTTGTGCTGAGGGACTTATCTCTGGTGGTCATCCTAGGTCAGGCAGCAGTCCACTGTTGTCCCTTCATAATGGAGCAGGGGCTCTTAAAACACTCTGTTCTGATAGTTGTTCTACTTCTCACCTGTTCTAACTCCCTTACTGACCTTGTAATGTTAAGAGATAGCAAAGCCAGTTTCTGATCAGAATGGCTATAGAAAACTGGAGTGGCTGGGGCCAGAGAAGACATGACTAGGCTGTCTGGAGCTTAGCCTCACAGGTGGGCTATGTGATGGGTAAGGGTCTCAAGTCAGATGGGATGCGTGTATCCTAGTATTGTGTTCTCTCAGGCCGTCTCTGTGCCCCAGTCCTACTGTCTGCTTCCTTGCTGGTCTTCTGTCCCACAATTGGTGGAGACTGAACTTCCTCCTGATGGAGGAATAGCCTGAGGATCTGGGCAGTGCTGCTGCCTCTTCGCAACACCAAAGGTGGTCTCTGCCTTTTAAAGCCTCTGGTTTTTATCTTCTGTAGCTTGTGCAAGAGCCTGTATTCTCTTTTCAGCCATCCCTGTATTCATTCCTCTTTACAAACAATGTACTAGGCTCTACACCTGGGCCAGTTCTCTGCCCCAAACAGGCTAAGCAGTGGTTGACTGTGTAGGCTGAAACAGAATTTCTTGAGGCAACTAGCTAGACCATGTTTCTGCTACCCACAGCCAGTGAGGTCATGCCCACCATGCTCACCTGGAGTCTCCTTTCTTGATGATGCACATGGCCCATAGGTGGCCTTTTCAGGGAGAAGAGGGGGTATATAGCTTGCCTGGCAGGTAGCAAAAGTCCTTTTTCTAGTGCACGCTTTATCTGAACAAAAATACCAGGCCTATTGGATATACTTTGTCTGTGATTAAGGCTGAATTGTTTTCTGGTTTTTGTTTTTCTCTTTCTCAGCCTGACCTGCTGAATTTCAAGAAAGGCTGGCTGACCAAACAGTACGAGGATGGCCAGGTGAGTGTATGCAACTGCTGGCCTTAAGGGCTGGGGAGCAGGTGTGAGTTAGAGCTGGTCTTGTCCATGGTCTGAGGTCTGTGAACCCTTGCTCCATCTTCTACTTCTGCACACCCTTGACTCACAGACTAAGACTGAATGATGGGATCCCTTCCTATTTATGATTGTATAGGTTCACTTCCACCTACAGCTGTGGTAGAAATTCTGAAAAGGCACCAGCCAGATCTGCCAGTTACCAACAACACCTCTGGGCTTTAAGCCTGGGATATTCTATAACACTAGCCTTCCACTTGGAGTGTTTTTTTCTTGAAGCCCTCAGGGAATGGGGAGGCCCCTCACTCTGTGATTAGCTTGTGTTTCCATACAAAGCAGCCAAGTAAGAGTTCTCAGGACTGCAGTGACTGTATTTGGCACCAGGGGAAGAAAATCTGGTCCATTGTTGCCATCAGATTCAAGTAGGAAGACCTGTTTAGGACTAGAATCCTGTTGTGTGGTACACTGTCTCCCCAAGAGCAAAGAGGAAACTGTTGGATCTTTGCCCTGGAGGCCTTGAAACATAGCCTATGCAGCCTCAGCCAAGCTCCTCTTCTGCGTTCTGAGTCTTTGTGCCAACATCCTCTCTTTCTCTTCTGTGTTGAATGCCCGTGGCCTTACCTGAAGACTCAAGTTCCCTTCCTTGCTACTCACAGTGAAGACTTGGTACTCTAGAGGGTTTGTTTGCTCTTGCTGGCACAATTGGAAAGATCCAAGCCAGCCAGATGTTGTGCTCTCGTTGCCATTTTCACAGCCACCTTTCCATTTTGATGGGCCCCACCCATTGTCAGCAGCTTCAAGCTGGAATGGAGGCTTGCAAAGCACTGGTCACCAGCCCTATCACCGTGGATCACAGAACCCCCAGCCTAGACCCACCCAGCTGCCTTTTCACAGAAGAGCTCTCTACCACCTGACCAGTGTCACTTGTGAGCTACTTGCCACATGGGTCCAGCTGTCCTGCTTTACCTGTGTCCTGCTTTATCTGCTTTACCTAAGACTCTGGCTCATGACAGTTGAGGATTGTTTTGTTTTGTTTTGTTTTGTTTTGTTTGTCCTTCATTTTTAGTGGAAGAAACACTGGTTTGTCCTGGCTGATCAGAGCTTGAGATACTACAGGGACTCTGTGGCTGAGGAGGTAAGTTTCTTGGCTTCCTTGTCCTCTGGAGACAGGGACCTGATGGCACCTGGGGGCCTGGGGCTCCCTAAGTGCTGCTGCTTTCTCCTGGGCTAAAATTTCCAGTTATATTTGGAAGAGAGTCCCTGTTGCCAGGTTGTACATTCCAGTTTGTGGCTGGTGAAACTGTGAGCACAACCAGACCAGCCTTGACAGCCTCACAACTGATTGCGATGTCATGGTCTTTCGAGGCACTGTTTAGGTACCTTGATAGAGTGGGTTTGGGGAGCTTTTGGTTTTTGTTCTGTGAAGGGCACTGAAATTTGAACACTCAGGCTAAGCAGCCTTTTTGTTTTTCACAAAGTGATTTTGTGGTGAACTGAGTCATTGGGGAGAACCGAAGTAAATCTTGTCCCATCTTCTGGGTAAGGATGGGATATGGTGGGGGAGCTTTTCAACAGTACTGATTCCAGACCAACCAGGAGGGTTGTTTGAGTTTTTGTTTTTTATTTGTTTTTATTTTTTGGCAGAACCGGGGATTGAACTCAGGCCCTTGCGCTTGCCAGGGAAGCACTTATTCTACTGAGCCATTTCTCCAGCCTTGTTTTTTAGCTTACAAAAAATTTTAAACTCTGTTGAACAATTTGGCAAACATGTCTTCTGCCATTTCCCTGGTACACTCAAGGATCCTCTAAATACACCCTCACATGGAGAAAAAAAAATCCCAGACTGGTCAACCTTGCCCAGATCCTTGCTCAAATTTTCCTTGAACAGAACACAAAAAACTCATTGACAGAGTCAGATTCCACACTGTAACTAACCTTTTAAAAACTAGAGTTCATCAAAGTAAACCAGTACAGTTACCAGAAAAGGCTATTAAAATCCTTCCTTTTCTGTGTGACTGTGTGAGAAGACTCTGTCTTCATATACATCAACCAGAACAATACATTGAAAGAACTGAATCAAGAAGTAGGGGAATTCAGCTCTTATCTCTAAGGATAGACCTGCAAGAAATATACAGAAACACACACAAAAGACATTTTCATTAATGATCTTTAATCATATTTTAAATTTGAAAATGAAATCTTATTTTTATTCTTAAATGAATAAACATGCTTAAAATTTTTATATTTAGTGTGGCACTAAAATATTCAGTTAAGGACCTACCTGTTTAATGACTGTTTGGATCTAGAAAAAGGGCACACTCTTCAGATTTGTGACCCATCTATTTTTCTCATATACTTCTATACTTCTTGTTTATAGAGCCCCAGAGTACAGCTTGTTTACACAGCACTTGTAACTATTACTGATTATGCAGTATATAATTTTGTGCCCTTTTATGGAGTTTCCTTTGACCATTTCTTTGTTCTGAATATTGTAATGTACATACTATATACAATTCCTTGATCAGTGACCAATTTTTTCAACAACTTAGTAATAGGAGTGGAATGCAGTCATTAAATGAGCTGTCTATCTATGTCATCAACAGATAATAAATACACAAAATCTCTTTCGGGTCATCTGTTTCTAAGAGTGTAAAGAAATTATTGCATCAACACCTGGGAAGTACTAGCATATACTGTCTTGGACAGTGACATGGGAAAGTGATGATGTCAGTGCGGCAGGGGAAGGGCCCTGGATTCTGCAGGATGTGAGTCAGGGGCCATTCCTGTTAAGAATGTGATCAGTACAGAAGGTTGTTTATGGAAATGTGTTCAGCTAGGTCTTGGCTCTTTTTTATTTTTTTATTGTTTTCCATTTCTGTATTTGGTACAGTGTCTCACTACACAGCTCAGACTCATAGTGATTCTCCGGATTTCAGCCTCCCTAGTGCTGGGATTGCAGGCGTGAGCCATAATGCCCAGACTCTTGGCTCTTTTTAAATCTCCTATAACCCTGTCATTTCTTTCTGCAGGCAGCAGACTTAGATGGGGAAATTGACTTATCCACATGTTATGATGTCACAGAGTATCCAGTCCAGAGAAACTATGGTTTCCAAATACATGTAAGTGCAGGGGTGAGGTGGGCCGAGGGCCTGGACTAGTAGGGATGTGTCCCAGAGAACTGATGTACCTATCCAGGTGCTTATAGACAGGCCTGACTTGGTGTGTGATCAGTACTCAGTGGCACTTCTGCTATACAGCTCCTGACCCCCATCTCCAATGTGTCATAGAAACAAAATCAAAAAAAGCATCTTTCTTTTCAAGGCTGTCTAAAGGCTCTTACTACTGAAAGGCCTTTTCGCTTTTATTTTTAATGTTGGAGTTTGTTTCAGTTGGAAGGAGTAAGATAAAGTGAATGAGAATGAAAGCATTTCTTAATTTTTTTAATCTCAAAAATCTTGTAAGAGGGGCCAGGGAGATAGCTCAGTAGAATAAGCGCTTACCTGCAAGCGCAAGGGCCTGAGTTCAATCCCTGGTTCCACAAAAAAAAAAAAAAAATCTTGCAAGAGCCTCAGATAAGCAAGACATAGACCTTTCCTCATAGAAGTAGTTTTATTGAATAGATCAAATTGTTCTTGTTAGCCATTACATCAAAGTTGTGTGATCATGCTGCCTGGAGTCACTCAACCAGGCCCAGGGTTGCGGCCCTGGGTGCCACATTTGCTTTCACTTCTAATACCAGCTAAAACTTCAGAGGATTCCAAACATCTTTCAGGCCAGGCATTGCGACACACCTATATCCCAGCACCTGGGAAGCTGAGGCAAGAGGATTGCCATGAGTTCAGGACCAGTGTGGACTATAGCAAGATTCTGTCTCAGAAAAACAAAGAAAACAAAAAGCCTTCTTCAGGATTCAGGAAAGCTCTATTTTTATAATTAGTGTTATTTTAGCAGTAAGGTACCAGTCGGAACCAGCCAAAAGGGACATGTGAGATAAAACCTGGGACCAGGAAGGTTCTCATTACCTTTCTGGCCTTGACCTCTTTGTCATTTTTTTTTTGTTTTCATTTATGTATTTGATACAGGGTCCTAATATGTAGCTCAGACTTGTAGTGACCCTCCTGTTTTCAGCCTCCTCAGCACTGGGATTACAGGCATGTGCCACCATGCCCAGACTGGGGGGGCGGGGCTGGCACAGCATATGGGACCGGGCACCAAACCTTGGTCCCTGCATTTGCCAAAGCAGGTGCTTAGTCTACTGAGGTATCTCATTGGCCCCTCTTTGTCTTGATGTTCAGCAGTACACAGTATTTCCAGAAAGCCTGCCACAGCCACAGTGTCCTATCTTCACTGAAGCTTCATGACTGCCATAGTTGAGTGACCATGCTGGTGTTTTATCTGCATCTGTAGGCCAGATGTCCACTGATTTCACAAGGCTCAACTTCTTTTCTCTGAGGTTAGGGATGATCTTTGTTCTTTCTTAAGTAGCTGGCCCCTTCCGTAGGCCATCTTGTCAACATAAGTTATCAGGTAGAGTTTCAGGTCTACTATTCTGCCAGTCAGTCACTTATGAAGTCCAGGACAAAGACTATACCCCTCTGTGGGTGAAGTCTCTCTTCTCTCACAAGAGCCTTCCAAGTGGTAGTAGGTAGAGGTCTTCCCTGAGCAGGCTCTTGGTGTTAGTTTCTCCCTCCAGCTGACTCTTGTGGGCTCACCAATAGCATGTATTAACTTACCAGTTTTTGAGCCCAGAAGCTCAACTGTTGCTGTGTTCCAATACTTAGACCCATACCTGAGAAAAGACTGAAATATATCCCTAAAGACCAGTGTGTTTATATTAGGAAAACCCTTATGCCAGACCCTGGTCTTCCCTCCCAACTTGTCTGTGAGGGAGGATATCACAATCAGGAATACCCCACTAGCCTGGCTCTAAGCCCAGCATGTTCTTAGCAATTGGTTGTTAGCAGCAGTGCTGTCCCTTCTCCCTTGTGGAAGAGGTAGAGTGCTCAATGAGCCTGAGGTCCCCATCTTTATTATCAGGTGTCTCTAGGCAGGGCATCCTTATATATGAGATCTCAGTTGCCTTCCTTGTGGTAGTGAGGGCCAGTGGTAGTTGTAGCCTTTTGACGTCTGTAACCTCTCACTCTACCCTTTGGATAAGATTACTCTGATCCAGTATGCTGCAAGCCCTAGGGCCTGCAGTTCTAAGCTGGAGAAGTTGCTTTCTGCATGGGTGCACTCCCTGGAGGAGGGCTCAGCCATGAGCTTCTAGAGGCTAGAGGGATGAGTATGCAGTGCCCACCCAAGTCCTGGATCTAGTGTAACAGAAGAGGAAATCCTGTGGAAGCAGATGGGGCAATACTATGAGAACAGTGAACACCAAGCCAGGCTATTGAAGACACCGGCATTAGTGGATCACATTGGCAGGATGTCAAGGTGCTAGAATGGAGACCAGGCAGGCATTTTGGTAGTAGTGGGCAGGGAAAGAAGAAGAGGGTGCATGGTGCTGAGAGGAGAGGAACATGAGAAAGGGCTAAATGGGGCCAAGTTTCCAGGGCGGTGGGTCCTCTGGAACTCTTGACTAGTGCTGAGTTTGAGAACCCGTGATGGATAGGTGTGGCCCTGAGTGGGAAAAAGCTCAGCTGGAGAGATGAGGTGGAGTGCTGAGGCCAGACTTTGAAAGTTTTATACCTAGGGGTAAAAAGAGCTGGCCAGGGAGGAATGTTAGAAGTGCCCATGTGGTAGCTTTCAGGGAGGAGGAAGTCAGATCTGAGCTGTACTTCATGGCAGGTTCAGCCAACACATGGACTCAAGTGTTGTGGCCATTGTCACCTCATGCCCATCCCAAGACTGTCTTCAAAATTTTATCTTCTACCTACTGCTTTGTATGTGTGGGCAGGCTTACAGCACAGTGCTGAAATACACCTTCTCTTGACACAAAAGCAATGACAGATGCTGGCCCTGTGTTGTGCCCCTCACTTATCTAACAGGTTCCCAGGCAGAGCCACTGGGTGACACAGAGATAGTTTCCCCATTGTGAACAGGCTTCCTGCCTCACCCTGCCATTCACACCCCCACACATCCCTCTTTCTACCCTGTCTGCTACCACCTCAGCCATGAGCTTCTGGAGGCTATTGAACATTTCTAGGTGAACAGAGCAGTTTTTACTCAGGTGTCAGCCATTCTATAGGCATCTCTGGGCTTTGACTAGGATATCCACACACACATACCTTGCGGTGTGCCCATGTGTGTAGCTATAGGACACTGGCCCAAATTCATACTGCTCCACTTGCATTTCACCCATTTCTAGGGGTTTTGTCCTTCCATTTGGAATGGGCATGACCTAAATAGATGTATGTGACATTCTCATTTGGTTCATTAGAGAAGCTCAATAAGCATATGCTGACCCTGTGGAAGGAGATACCAGTTTATCATTGCCTTGCTAATATGTACAGCTTCAGGAGTCCCGATTTAAGCACCCAGTTCTTGGCAGAAATCCCAGCCTCAACCTTTATCTCCGTGGCACTTTGTCCATGCATAGTGCAAGGATCTCCACTGGAGATGGGCAGCAACAAGCACCCCTAGATGTGCTTACTTATAACATCTCTGTGTCTTTTGTATAGACAAAGGAAGGAGAGTTCACCCTCTCAGCCATGACATCCGGAATCCGTCGGAACTGGATTCAGACCATCATGAAGCATGTAAACCCAGCCACCACCCCAGATGTGACCAGGTGAGACAGTGAGGGATGCCTGAGGAATCCCTTCCTGCCTCCAGTGGGATGCTTGCATTCCCACAAGGGAGCTCTGGTTGGGACCTGAGGCCAAGCTTAGCTGCATCCCAACACAGCTTCTTCCCCATCTGCTGTCCTTCTGAGTGCTGGTTCCCCATGCTGTCACCTGGTGCTTTGTGATTTTCCTCTCTCACATCAGCCTTCCTCCACTGAGCTGGCTGGGTTAGTCCTGCAAGTCATTTCTGTGCCTCTGCCAACCACCGAGCTTGGCAGAGAGCCTTTCATCTCTGCCAGAGGTGCGTGGCCACGTAGCCTTGGCCTTGGACTCTGCAACTGTACTTTAGGACAGCTGTGCTGTGGCTAGGTAAAGACAGATATAGGTGCTATAACCATGGACCCCCATAACTTTGCTCTTCCTCCGCTTCCTTTTGCCTCACTCCTGCATCTGTTTGATTTCTGTGCAACCAAGAGAAGCTTCTCTCTGAGACTTGCAGTGCTGAAGCCCAAGTTGGAAAAATGTGTGCTCTCCTGTGTTAGCATACTGTGGTTTGTATCCCTTGGGACCTGCTGCATGTCTTCCTCCTACCCAGAAGGCTAGAAACCTGCCAGTTTTCATTTAGCTGAGTTGTGTGGGGTTGGCTTTGTGATGGCCAAGCTCCACTGTGCTCACCTCCAGGTCTCAGCCTCTGTGTGTTCTCTGCTTTGTATGTGCAAGCAGCCTGGTGTTCTCAGCTTCTCTGGCACCTTTCTCAGTTTGGGCAATTCACATTGCTAACCTTGGAGGTTAAGCTGCTTGGAGGCTGTGAGGTGGCAGCATAAACTGGCCTGGGGCAGCCTTGTCCATGTCTGTTCTTCATCAAAACCTACACCTTCTTACAGAACACTGACATTCCACCCCTCTGAGTAAGAAGCAAAGGAAAGTTGAGTTCACTTCCTTTTCTTCAGCCTCCTTTCTTGTCATGTGTTCACTCCTTCTTCGTTCACTAGCAAACAGTATCTGTTTTTTCTCATGTCTCAACAAAGTTGTGGCCAGAATAAAAGACTCTTTGACTCCCCAATTTGGAGCAGAGCCTATAGCTTAAGGAGGCCAGGCTCTTTATCTCCCATAGGAGGCCCTACAGCAAAGTAAGAAAGACACTCAGCTACCCACCCATGCTGTAGCAGCAAAGTCATAGTGCTACTTCCTAGCAGGCAGTGGATATGCAAGGATGGGTGGCCTGAGGCCCTCTCCTGCCCATTGCATCCCTACCTGGCCTGACTGCATGCTCAGATGAAGTGCCCCATGTTGAGATGTCCAGACACAGTAGGAGTGCATGGTTCACATCTCATGCTTGCATGTGGCTTAGGAGGGGTGACCTTCTACATACTCAGTCATGTGGCTTTCTGTGTAGAGGGCTCAGGGGACAAGCACAGAGGCCAGGTACTATGTTAACATGCCAAACTTGGTCTGGCCATTGTCCTTTTGACTAGAGTTTACTTCACAGTTTAGTGCATCGTAATACTGGTAGAGTGTCTGAATCCCATTTGTTTTTAGTATGTGTTCTTCTGTCAGCCCCCAAGAGCAAAGGAAAATTTGAATTGTTTTGATGCCTCAAAGCCAAGCCCCAGGGATTCAGTATAAGAGACGGTGATGCCACAGCTGCTGGTTTTGTTGTGCTTTTCAGTTTTTGTCTTGCAGACTATGGTGGCAAAGACCTAGGGCACTGCTGGCCGTGGGGGCTGGAGGAGCTTCCTCTCCTAGAAGCATTCCTGTCACCCTACTTGCCCTTGTGTGTCATTCTGATACCCCACATGCTGTGCCAAAGCCAGCTAACTGTATTAATGATGTTAAATGATCCACTCAGCATTTTTTTAATTTACATTTGTGTGACCTCAGTTTAAACTCTTGCCAGTTTTGCTTTTTGAAAAATCTTGGGTTCTTGTGCTTTACTGCTAGCACAGGTGATTCCCCTGGGAGTAATAGGAGCTTCTGCTTTTTACTTGGTGCCGTTTTGCAGCTCCTTTCTTTCTGTCCATCACATAAATCCAGGTGCTCCCTGGCAATTTGCTTTGGGCCCTTGATGCTCCAGAACACTACCCTAACTAACTCTTTGAGGCTTGGTTGAGACCAGGGCCTAGGGGTGGCCTGCAGTCACTGGGTCTTTTCTGCTATGCCTCAGAATCTTTCAGAGAGTCCATTTTCAGCCTCTGGCAAAGTTGCCATTGGTGGTGTCCTCCGCCCTCCTCCCTTCAAGTGAATGGTCTACCCAGGAACATAACCTTTGGAACACACTAAAGAGAGGGACTTCTCAGGCTAACCAGCTTCGTCCCTGCCACTGCTGGGCAGGCCATAGTACCAGTATGCATGACCTGCACAGCCCATGTTGCTGGGCACCTCCTTTCTCAGCGTGGCAGGTTGTAACACTGCTTTTTCCTCCAGGAACCCTGGGCCTCCATCCCTTCCCTCACAGGTACTCTCAGCTCTCTACTGTGACTTACCTGTCATGCCAGCAGCCAGAATGGGCTCTTAAAACACTTGAGGCCAGGTGTGGTGGTACACATCTGTATTCCTAGCACTCAGAGGCCAAAGCAGGATTACTGCAAGTGCAAGGCCAGTCTGGGCTATGTAGTGAAGTCAAGGCAAGCCTGAACTATGTAGCATGATCCTGTCAATTAATTAAAATAAAAGCAGGTGAGTGAGTGTGTCACCTGTTTATTGAAACTTCTGAGCCTTTCTAGGGAAATGACTGGTTCTTGTTCCTTCTGTCACCACCCACTACAGGGTTGCCTTACCAAGTGTTTCTACAGTGGCTGGGCCCTTCTTTCCTGTCTCCATCATCCTGGTGATGGGACCATAGGACACTTCTCCTATTGCATACTCTCAGTTAAGTAATGTATGCTGGAAACCTTGGGAGAAATGAGCCTTCTCAACCCTATTCCCAGCCCCAAACCAGCCTTGAGTCCTCCAGGAAATGGTCACCTAGTTACAGAGGCATTCCTCCCCTGCCACTCAGGAAACCACACAGGGTTAGAAAGGTGTGGATCAGGCATAGGCAGGCTCACAGCTTACCTTTGATGGCCCTGTGTTTGTTCCACAGTTCATTGCCTGAGGAAAAGAACAAGAACAGCTCAACTTGTGAAACCTGCACAAGGCCAAGTGAGAAGCAAGAGCCAGAGCCAGGGGAGCCAGATCTAGAGCAGAAGAGAAGTCGTGCTCGGGAGCGAAGGCGGGAGGGACGCTCTAAGACATTTGACTGGGCTGAGTTCCGCCCCATCCAGCAGGCCCTAGCTCAGGAAAGGGCCAACACCATGGGGACCCCTGATGCCCATGAACCTGGGCACCCTGAAGTGGAGTCAGGTGAGCTAGAGCGGGAGCGTGCGCGGAGGCGGGAAGAACGCCGCAAACGCTTTGGGATACTAGATGCTGTGGATGGACCAAGCATCGAGGATGCAGCCCTACGCATGGAAGTGGACCGGAGCCCAGGACTGCCAATCACTGATCTTAAAACACAAAATGTCCACGTGGAGATTGAGCAGCGGTGGCATCAGGTGGAGACCACCCCTCTCCGAGAGGAAAAGCAGGTGCCCATTGCTCCCTTGCACCTGTCCTCTGAAGATAAAAGTGACCGGCTCTCTACACATGAACTGACCTCTCTGCTGGAAAAGGAGGTAATGCCAGGGCAGCTTCCTCTGCATCAGCCAGTCCTGAGTGCTAGCTGTGGCCTGTAAGCTCAGCTACACAAACTTCCCCTCTGGAACACAGACCATTCTTGAAAAGGATTTTTTTGGCTGGCTCAGGCTGCCTTAAGGGTGGGTCTGGTGCAGCATGTGGAGCTGGGGATTGAACCATGGTCCCCCACACCTGACTGAGTTTGCCCAAACAAGCACTTTAAACAACTGGGCTAACCGGCAAGGCCCCCACAGACTGTTCTCTACAGTCAAGGTGGATGAGAGTGCCAGGTCATGACAGAGTGGGGATACTGAGCCCTTCCAGCGTGGAGGAGCCATTCATGACTTGCGGCCAGGCACTAGGCTAATGAGTTTTGTAGGGCCCAGATAGTGGGCCTTGTTGTATCTGCTGCAGGGCATGAGCTAGATTTTAAGGGATGTGAGTAGAGTTAGGTTTCTATTTGTATGAGGCCTCTTGGGGGACACAAGCAAAGCTAGAGCCAGAAGTGAACTCTGGAGCTTTAACAATGGCCTGGGGACAGTTACTGAGATCTGATGGGGTATGGGACAGCATTGAGAGACAAAGTTTGGGCACCAGATGTTAAAGATATGAAAGGACTGTGGTGAGCTGCTATAGGGCAGACAGTTAAAGGGAGGCTGGATAAGAGCTGGAGCCTGGAGAAGAGTTGGGCATTCAGCCCTGCATTCGTAGTATGGGGAGTTCTCATGAAATTGTGTCCCAACTTCAATTCTTAATGCCAGCTTGACATTATAAGTGAAAAATTCTACACTATGAAATTTTATTTAATGAATAAAATTACCAAAAATACTGTATAGGAGGTTGGAGGTCCAATTCTGTGGCAGAGTGTATGCACAGAATGCACAAAGCCCTGGATTCTACCCCGTTACAGAAAAACATGCATACACACATGCACACATACACACTCTCGCATGCACAAACATGCATACTAGATCCTGTTTGTATGCAGGTAACCCAAACTTGTAAAAAATCTGAAATCTAAAATACTCTGGCCTCAAGCATTTGGATAAAGAGGTACTCAGCCTGTGTAGTGGTCTGCTTTTTGCAAAATACCCTGTCAGCTTTGAATTAAATTTATGAGTCTGATAGTTATTACTACTATCAATACTTTGACTTTTCTAATACTATTAATAAAATAATAATGATGATTAAATAAAACAATACATGCTTCTAAGCTATCAGAATGTACCCAAAAGCCACACTTAAAATCATCAGTTTGTATTTTGGACATCAATCTCTTTGAGCAGTCTTCAGTGTTTCATAGTCATGGATCTCCCTGCTGCTCACAGCACACCCTGACAGTGCCCTGACTACTCAGCTGCATCTCCGCTCCTTAAGCACCAGTCTCTGAAGAAGAGGGAGGGCAGCCTGAATAGGCTGAATTTCAGGCAGGACCTAGGAAAAGTGTGGGGAAGAGACAGGTGGATGAGTAAGTGAATCTTAAAGCTATTTGCAAACCCTCTTTGCAAACAGAGCTCTTTGTGGGATCCAAATCCAGCATGCATACCTGGTCAAATAGTTTCACTTGATGTCACAGCACGACCCATATTGAGGCCTGCTTTGAAACTCCACCCACCCACTGTCCACAGTAGCCCCTGTAGAGATTAGTGTGATGATGTAGAGAGCCCCCATCACACCTCCACAGGTTGTTCTTTCTTCTGCAGAGGGCTTGACCTGTAGATTGCCCTCACAGTGGAACCATGAGCAGTGTAAAAATTGTGTGTGTGCCAAGAACTATTTTAAGGGGAAGGACCAGGCTATTCATCAGCCCCTAGAGAAAGACAAGTGTAGCAGGTCCTTTACAACTTGAGCTGGAACCTTCAGTTTGTATGCTGCAGTTATAGACTACCTCAGCACATCTGAAATGTGCAGATCCAAAAGTTCTGCTCCAGAAGAGGCACCACTTGTGCTACAATCAGGAATACCCAGACTATGAGACTATGCAGCTGCTTCTCTCTGTTGTCATGTTACTTAAGGACATGTCTTTTTACCAACAGCTGGAGCAGAGCCAAAAGGAGGCCTCAGACCTTCTAGAGCAGAACCGGCTCTTGCAGGACCAGCTGAGGGTGGCACTGGGCCGTGAGCAGAGCGCCCGGGAGGGCTATGTTCTACAGGTAGGATGGGACAGCTGCCAAGGCACATAATGCACCTGGGGCTTCAGTGGGAAGGGTGCAGGCGTGGCCCGCAGGCTAGGAATGTGCAAACCGGGCAGAGCCTAGCCTCAGTTCCTCTGCCCCAAGGACACAGGCATTTAGTGCGCTAGAGGCTCTGTGTTTATTTTTTCATCTGCTCTAATGTTTTGAGGAGTGTGCCTGAAATTCATGCATCTAAGGCTTTTTGGAGTATTTTTTTGTAATGAAATAGTTGTGATCGCTCCTGTAGCTATGTTTCCTGGGGACATCAACCATCTGCATGTTATTTTTCATCGTACTTATAATAGTAGGATTAGGCCTGTTGTATAAACCAAAGGAGTTGAATCACATAGTGACCCAGATGTCTGTTCATAGCAGCAGGTTAGTGACTAGAACTAGAGCCTGATCCTATGTCTCATCCACATCTGCAGATGGATCATTGTCACCAGTGACCTAGGGGTCTCCAGTTCTTACTTTTTACCCAGGCTAATGGTTCAGGAGGATGTGGCCATCTAGTTCACAGCCAGCTGGACTTTGAGAGGAGATGAATAGAATGCAGCCTAGAACCTGAGCTGACAGCCCCAGCCCAGAATTCTTCTGCCAGAAGTGTCCACCAGAGTCCTGGCCACAAACAGATCTCTAGTATGTAGCAGCCCTGATGTGGGTATGTCACAAGGCGGGAGGTGGCCATGAATGAGTGAAGGCAAGCTGTACCTTTCACTGGCCTGTAGTATTCAGGTCCCATGCTAGCCCCAGGATATAGCACAGACATGTTCTTGTCCCAGTGCTGTTACTTACCATGCTGGCAGAATTAAAAATGAAGTGCTAAGGGAACAGTGAAACAGGGTGCCAGAATCTGGAACCTAAACTCTGCCAAAGCTGAAAATGGGACAGTGGCATAATAGTCCTGGGTTTAACCCTGCCACTGACCCAGAAGCAGATGTACCTTAGCCTTGCATTGAGAAGCCACTGCCTGTGTACACTTAGACCTATTGATCCTCAAGAGCCCTTTGGCATGCAGATGCCCAGTCTCTGTGATGAGTTTACTGTCAGCATTTCTAGACCCTGGTGTACCAAGCTGTCCCGGGCAGCAGGTGGCCTGGGGGTGCTTGGCTGTCCTCTGACTAGAGTCTGCTGCCTGCCTTTTCCCCACTGTCTCCTCTGCTTCACATGCCCTTGGCCTTCTCTGTTTCCCCCACATGCCTGCGTCTTTCTCCCCAGCCCCTTCCAGCAAACATTTGTCACGTTCATTCAGACCCTTGGGCCTAGGAACCATCCTTGAAGGGTATCACTTCCTTTACATCTTACTCTAGGAGCCTGTAGATATCTGTGCAGGTCCTTCTGGTTTGGAAGTATCTTTTTTAGGTGTCTCTTGAACCCCACTGTACAAGAACTGACCTTAGGTCAGGCAGTAAAGACACTGCCTGTGGCTTTGCACATTGCTAACTTGGGAGCCTGCCTGTGTGTTTCATGTGGACCATCGATGCAGCTTGCACCAAAGGCCTGTTGGTCAGACCAATCAGGCTACTCTTTGTAACTTTCTGCTGAGTCTAATAAACCTGATCTCTAGAAGTCAGAAGTGGCAGGGCCCGGGGGCTGAGGGTCACAAAGTTGGCCACAGGAGCACTGCACTAATTGCTGGGAGGAGCTTGCATGGTTTAGACATTGAGCTTGGATTTAACTGGAACGTTAACTGAGTGTCACATCTGTGGCTTCCCCACCAGTAGACAGGGGGAGCTGGGCAAGCCAGAGTCTAGATGGGGCTCTCATTTGTGTTCATTCATGCTGTTTCCTCTGCATTATATTAGCTCTATTCTGCATGCCTTTCAGTTTGGGGAGTTTTCTTTCATTTGTGTTTTGTTTTTTGCATGCCTCACTCCACAAAGATTTGTGTTGATTATCATATTTCACTCCATGGTTTGCGTTCTCCCTCGTTTTGTCTTCTTACAGGTAGAGATTAGTTCTTCCTATTACTGTGGAGGCCTGGCTACACTTTCCAAAGGAAAATGTTGTAGATGTTACCTCACTGACATCTCCTGATCCGTTACCTTCCTTCCTTCTCTCCCTCTCTCGGAAGGAAGTGGCATCACTTGCCTGCACCTTGCGTCCTACACTTATTTAGGCTCTGTGGGCTAGAACCATTTACTTTTTGTTTTGCAAAACAATCGGATGCAGTTACTGTGCTCCCCTGTCCCGCTTCCCGGCGTCCTCTTGTCCTTCAGTCTCCGTTTTGCTTCTCTGTGTATTCCATTATTCAATTTTGTTTGGTTTATTTCTCTTAGAAACTGTTCAATTAGAACTGTTTTTGATGTTGTTGTCCATGTTTTCTGTTTACCTACAAGCAGCTACTTATTTACAAAAAAAATTAAGAAAATTTGTTGGATTTTTTTTAAATGGGAAAAAAATGTACAAAGGATAAAAACCAAAGTCACCATGGAGCTTTTCTTTGATTAATCCTGGCCAGAGGTGTGACACTCAGAACGGGGAGGCCCGAGTGTTACTAACCAGTATTTAATCAATTTTTTTAAGACTGAAGTGGCCTCCTCCCCATCCGGTGCCTGGCAGAGGCTCCATAAAGTCAACCAAGACCTCCAAAGTGAGCTGGAAGCCCAGTGCCAGCGGCAGGAACTGATCACACAGCAGATTCAGACACTGAAACGTAGCTATGGGGAGGCCAAGGATGCAATCCGGCACCACGAGGCCGAGATCCGGAGCCTTCAGGCACGGCTCAGCAATGCTGCTGCTGAGCTGGCCATCAAGGAGCAGGCGCTGGCCAAGCTCAAGGGTGAACTGAAGCTGGAGCAGGACAGGGTTCGTGAACAGTTGGAGGAGCGGCAGCACAGCGAGGCAGCACTCAGTGGTCAGCTGAGGGCCAGTGAACAGAAGCTTAAGAGTGCTGAGGCCCTCCTGTTGGAGAAGACACAGGAGCTTCGGGACCTGGAGACACAGCAGGCACTACAGCGAGACCGTCAGAAGGAGGTGCAGAGGCTTCAGGAGCGCATTGCTGACCTCAGCCAGCAGCTGGGTGCCAGTGAGCAGGCCCAGCAACTGATGGAGGAGAAACTGCAGAGGAACTATGCATTGCTGCTAGAGAGCTGTGAGCAGGAGAAGCAGGCACTCCTGCAAAACCTGAAAGAAGTAGAGGACAAGGCCATTGCCTATGAGGACCAGCTACAGGGCCATGCGCAGCAAGTGGAGGCCCTCCAGAAGGAGAAGCTGAGTGCCAAGTGTGAGGGCAGTGAGCAAGTGCACCAGCTAGAGGAGCAGCTGGAGGCCCGGGAGGCCAGTATCCGCCAGCTTGCGGAGCATGTGCAGAGCCTCCATGATGAGCGAGATCTCATTAGACAGCGGTTCCAAGAACTCATGGAGCGTGTGGCTGCTTCTGATGGGGACGTGGCTGAGCTTCAGGAGAAGCTAAGGGGAAGAGAGGCTGACTACCAGAGTCTAGAACACTCGCATCACAGGGTCTCTGACCAACTGCAGAACATGCGCACTCTTCTGAGAGAAAAAGAAGAAGAGCTGAAACACATCAAAGAAGTACATGAGAGAGTCCTGGAAAAGAAAGATCAAGACCTTAATGAGGCTTTGGTTAAAATGGTTGCATTGGGAAGCAGCTTAGAGGAGACAGAAATTAAGTTGCAGGCAAAGGAAGAGATTTTAAGGAAGTTTGCAAGTGAGTCTGCAAAGGATATGGAGGAATCGCAGAGTACCCTGGAGGAAACTGAGGAACAGAGTGTTTCACTGTTGAACCAGCAGCTACCAGCAACTGGGGTAACTCCAGGCTTACCACAAACACAACTAGGGAATGAGGATGTGGCAGCAAGTCTAGGGGAAGAATGTGATAGAAGTCCCAGCAGAGAAGAAGGCACAGTGCCTCCAAAGACCATGGAAGTGACAGACAGGGAGGGACATCCACAGAGCACAGCCAAGCCTGACCAAGGAGCACCTGGTATTAAAAGACAAAGAATCCGATTCTCTACAATCCAGTGCCAAAGGTATATCCATCCTGAGGGGTCTGAAAAGACCTGGACCAGCAGCACATCCTCAGACACCAGCCAGGACCGGTCACCCTCAGAGGAGAGCATGTCCCCCAGCACAATGCCCATAGCTGGAGACTCAGAGACATACCTCTCTATCATCCATTCCTTGGAGACCAAGCTCTATGTCACAGAAGAGAAGCTCAAGGATGTGACCCTGAGGTTAGAGAGCCAGCAGGGCCAAAGCCGAGAGGCTTTGCTCGCCTTACACCACCAGTGGGCTGGCACTGAGGCACAGCTGCGAGAGCAACTCCGTGCCAGCCTGCTGCAGGCTGGTGCACTGGCCTCCCAGCTGGAACAGGAGAGACAGGAAAGGGCCACAAGCATCGGGAACCATGTAGGGGAGCTAGGAGGCTTTCAGGCAAAAAATAGCCAGGCCCTGATGTGCTTAGAAAAGTGCCGAGAACAACTAAGGTCTCTGCCATGGGCTAATCAGGAGGACACACAAGACACACGTGTGGCCTCCCTGGCCAGTGTAGAGAGTGCACTCATGAGTGCTATCCAGGCCCTGCAGGCCTGGCCATCCCCTGCAGACAGCACAGCCCAGACAGAGCAAGTGAAGGAACACTGCATGGAAAGCAGGCTGGCAGCACCTGCACAACAGCCCTGCCAGCCTGTACTGAGTGAGGAGGAGCAAGTGAAGCTGCTTTCTGACCAGATAGCCCTGGAGGCCTCCCTGATCAACCAAATAGCAGACTCTCTTAAGAACACAACCTCAGATGTGTCTCGTGTTCTGCATGAGATTGCTCAGTCAGGAGAATGGCTGCTGGAGGGAGAAGGTGCCTCTGTTTCTTCCAGAGCTTCAGCAGAGATCTGGGCCAGGAAGGTACTCGTGGACAGTGAGTTCTGGAGCCAAGTAGAGTCCCTAAGCAAGCACCTGGAGATGCTGGGAGCAGAGGCAGCCAGCACATCAGGAGGCGGACAGCAACGTGTCCCCCAAGGTCT